AGAGAGAGAGAGAGAGAGAAAGAGAGAGAGAGAGAGAGAGAGAGAGAGAGAGAGAGAGAGAGAGAGAGGAGAGAGAGAGACAGAAAGGTTGAAGGGAGATGGGACCAAGGTTATCAGTCAATATCTTATCTTATCTTATCTGATTCAGCTGTAAGACATAAGCTAGAAGCCTGTCAGCTGATGACACATATGACCTTCTGATCAATCCCAAGATCCTGTTATTGGCCTTGGCTGAATTTCAACATCTTTCTTGAACAATATCGCAAGCAACGACTTTGTTGTATAACTAAAAACTAGATCACGGTTTTATCACCTATCACATTGAAATTCACCATCGACCTAATTGATCTAAAATTTTACCAAATGTTAGTGTTGTATAACGATAATATTAATAGTAATACTAATAGTTTTAAAATACGTCTGAAATATGAATTGCAGTGAAAATTATTGATATGATAATCGCAATGTGCTGCTGTATGACTAGACCGAATAATTCTGTCCCATATAACTTTTTTTATATTTTGGTCAGGGTTATTGGGACAGAACGGGGTGCACTGAAATTTTGTGAGATCGCATGCAAAATGCATGCGCTGCTAATGCGGCCCGTACGCCGCTATTGGCGCAAAAAAAAACTTCCGTTCCCTTCTACATGGCTTTACCTTGCTATTGATATGTGTATACATTCACTTCAATCGTTATTCACTTCTTAAAAGATTGTTTTTCAGAAACCCTGCTTCATTTCACTTTAGTAAATTACATTCGCCATTTACAAACAATCAGACCAATCAGAGCGAGTCTTACAATTTAGCCTGGCTCTCGCTTGTATCTGTGGCGCTGCAGGAGGGCTGATAGACTCGCTCTGATTTGTCTAATTGTTTGTAAATGACGAATGTAATTTACTAAAGTGAAATGAAGCAGGGTTTCTGAAAAACAATCTTTTAAGAAGTGAATAACGATTGAAGTAAATGTATACACATATCAGTAGCAAGGTAAAGCCATGTAGAAGGAAACGGTAGGTTTTTTTTCGCGCCAATTGAAGCACATTGCAATTGAAGCAATTGTACGTGGGCTATAGTAGTTAGTACTGCTACTACTAGTACTAGAGCTACGTACGCGCAGGAACGCGTAGGTAACACTAACAGTAACACTAACACTAACGCTCAAGGGGTCGTTGTCGTATCAGGTACTACAGATATGTACCCGAGGTACATATAACTCGCTGCCGCAGTTTCCACAACTCACCGTTTTCAATCAGTTACAACTCCGGTGTTCCTGCATGTGATGCCATTTTCCAACTATCATTGGAATCGCGGAAGACTGCTAAACAAGCTACACCTGCCATTTTTGACAATCGGCCCGCCAGAATGCGCTCAAATCACAGAAATTCCTCAAATATACATGCGAAATGATCTTTTGGATGCTACTAGGCAAGAAGGCGGCTATGCCCAACTGCTTGCGGCTGCGCTGATTGGCTACAGCAAGTTTAACGTGCAGACAGGCTGCGCAACTACGTTTGTTGACATCGCGGGTGAGTCATGTTAGACGGACCCTCTCTCTCGCTGTACGCTTGTCGATCTGTATTGCCTAGCGAGATGCGGGTTCGTCTATTACTGGGCGAAGTGGCGGTGCATGTGAACTTGCTGCAGCCAATCAGTGCAGCCGCCAGCGATTGGGCGCAGCTGCCTTCTTGCCTAGTAGCATCCGAAAGATCATTTCGCATGTATATTTGAGGAATTTCTGTGATTTGATCGCATTCTGGCGAGCCGATTGTCAAAAATGGCAGGTGTAACTTGTTCAGCAGTCTTCCCGCGTTTAGTTGGAAAGTGGCGTCACCTGCAGGAACACCGAAGTTGTAACTGATCGAAAACGGTGAGTTGTGGAAACTGCGGCGGCGAGTTAGGCACCATGTTGTTATGTAACATGTGTTTTGCACGTGTTACATGAATTAGTCAGTGGAGCTAGACTAGTAGTTGTTTTAGTCATAGTCTAGCTAGACAGAGCGTCGCGCATCTTGTGCGGCTAGATTGATGTTATAGAGAGAATAGTAAACGTGTTTTAGGTCGGCCATTTCTAGGGTCATTGTGAAATGGGGGGTAGGACGCGGTTTGGGAGAACGGGTACATGTGCGCAGGCTTTCATTTTTAAATGCCGTTGGGGAGTTTTCCCAAACGGGGCGCGCGCGCCCCG